GTGTCCCCGGAGAGGCGACGCCACCACCCACGTCCCCCTGCCCAGGGCTGGGGCCCCCGCGGAACCACTGCCCGCTGCCGTCCCAGGGGCTCCCACCATCCCGGCGTGCCCTTCCCTGGGGCCTGCACCTGATGATCTGCTGGAAATTGAGCCTAAAAATGCCAAAATAAAAAAAAGGAGGAAAAATTTGCCTGGGTTTTGCAGCAGCCAGAGGGGTGTTTTCCTGCAGTGGTACAACAGGAGCTGCAGCTACACAGGGGAACGGCTCCTTCTCCCCCCAAACCGGGGGAGAAGGGCTGGGGCGTGAAGAAGGGCACCAGGAGGTTCGTTTCTCGTGGGGTGGGGTTGCTTTTCGAGGGGACCCGGGACCCACAGAAGCACCAGAGCAAAGCAGCCACCACCGCCACGCGCGCCGTGGTCTTCCCCGGCAGCGTGCGCCCATCGAGACTCGAAGCGAGTGGGAGCCCACGGATGTCTTGGGTGTGCACGAAGGATCGATGCCCCCAAGACTTTAACCAACACTCACAGCAGCCCCGTTACCCCTGGGGGTGCAGGAGAGCCATGCCGAGCTCTCTCCCCGCAGAGAAGAGGCTGCACCCCGCCATCCCAAACTCCTCCTCAACCTCTTGAACCCAACGCAACTTGCCAGCACTCCTAAGCCCACCACCAACTCCCACAACCAGGACAACTGCCCACCCCCTACCAGCCCATGCTGGGGTTCATATTGCCACAGGGAATGAAAGAAGCCAAAAAACCATCATGTTTTGGTTTTTTTTTTTTTTCCTTTTCCAATAGTCTCACTTTATTAGATACCACATCAAGAGAGGATGTTGTGCTGCATGCAGCGGAAGACTGGAGTATTTCTAGTTCCTGTGTAACATTTTCTTTTTCTCTTAATGGTTGTAAACTGATATTTTGCTGTAAAATCACTGCATGCAAGTTTGAATGCAAACAGCAGTAGAAGAGGCTTTTTTCTTTTTTTTTTCTTTTTTTTTTTTTTTGCACCATTCCCAATCCATATGTGCATGCTTTATTTACAACGAAAAGAAGTCATTCAGGGCAGAAATTACCATCAGAAAAACTGAGAAGAGCGCAGAAAATAGAGACGAGGACTGTGGTTTGCACAATACTGAGAGGGGGATTGGCAAGTTGCACTTTATTTTTATGGGTGCAAAGAGATGATTTGAGTATCGCTTGTCTGAAGGGAAAGCAGGCTGAGCAGAGAATGTCAATACAGGGCATGGGTAAAGGAAACCCTAAATTTAATTGTTCTGCACACACAAAAGAGGCTGGGCTGCTGCAGGTCTGGAATAAATTAAGGAATTGCTCAGATTTATTTTTTTTTTTCTTTAAGGGTAATTTCATCCCCAGCCACACATTGCCCCAGCAGGGCTCGGAAGCGCCCTGTGCCCAACTGCTGCTCCAAGGGCCGTGCAAAGCTTTTGGCCAGGTCCATCACTCTGGAAGGAACGACGGCAGCATCCTACAGCCGAACCACCTCTGCCCTGACACGGCTGCACGAGGCAGCGCCGGACACGAGGAAAACGATCCGAAAGAACCGGGTCGTTTCAGTCTAGGTCCTCCGCACTGCCCGCGCTGAGGGCGGCGTGGCTCGGGGTCTCGGGGCATTGCACTTACTGGTACGGAGTCAAGAACGACATGAAAGGAAGGGGAAAATTTTCAAAGCGTCCTCTCCCCTTGCACTCTTCTGCGCACCACGCCCCGAGCAGCTCCCATCTCGGTGGCCATGCCACAGGACGGAATCTAGGGTGATGGAAGAGCTGCCCCAGCTCGGGCTGAAAGCAGCAGAGGATGCCCACGCTGGTTTAGGTTTGCTTTCCCCATCCGTGGTCCAAGGGTGGCTCCTGGGGGAGATCTGGGTACAACGGTGCTGGCAGCACCCAGCCGGGGCTGGGGGGGAAAGCAGACCTCCGTGGGCTGCCAAGGGCAAGCCCTGGGCCGCAGGGAGGGAGCTGGGCTGGGGAAGGGCTGCCCTGCAGCAGCAGCACGCAGAGGTTAGCGTCACGCAGCGACGTCAGCATCGCTCAGCGCGCAGCCCCCACCAGCTGCAGAAATCACGGCCCTGCAGAGGTGCTGGTTGCAAGTCAGCACTCCGAGCAAATTCTGCCGGGGGAAGGCGGGGGGGCGGGGAAATAATCAAGAATAGGAAAATAACTCATCCAATTCCAAAGAAACAGCTCTGCGGTACAGCTGAATTGAGAACGCGCCACACGCCAGCAGGCTACAGCAGCGGGTTGCAAGGGAGTCATGGGACGACAGCGTGAACCGAAGGGGCTGGGGCTCAGTTTCCTACAACATGGGCAGCGTGTAGTGACCGACAACATATTCCAGTAGTGCTCATTGTGCTGCTATCGCCATTGCCGTGAGGTTGGCCAGAGACATCCCAAACTCCGACAACATATTCCAGTAGTGCTCATTGTGCTGCTATTGCCATTGCCGTGAGGTTGGCCAGAGACCCCGAACGGTGCCAAACCTGATCAGCATCAGTCCGAGAGCGTCTTGGCTCTCCTGCTATCGATAACAAATAAAACACCTCCAGACGATCATTAAAGCGCAGGTTGAAGACAACGGTTCTTGTGCAGACTTGCAAAAAAAAAAAACAAAACCCAAACCAAACAAACAAACAAAAAACCAAACCAAAAACCACCGAAGTTGGAAGACCTCTAACTGTCCCAGCTAGTTTCGGTATTTGTGGTATTTTAAAGCAATACTCCTTGCACACATCAGCTAGTTGGTGGGAAGTAGTTTCTCCCTTGGCTTCCCTCCTGCATGTGGTACGGCAAACGGTTGGCAACAGAAAGGGTAGTCTGAGGAGGGCCCAGGGCCCGCCCTCGGGGTTCAGCTAGTCACTACTACACGGCCAGGCTGTGAGGAGGAGGTAGTCACAGGCTTGAAACGTGGGTGAGCTCCTACAGCAACGGCGCGCGCGAGTTCCTCGGGCGAAAGGAACCGCACGTGGCGGCTGGAAACGAACAGGAACCCACCCAAACCTCTGTTTCCCTGCGAGCACAGAGTGGCTCCCTATTTCTCGTTATTGTTGTTATTATTGGTGGATCTTCTCAGCAAAGGATGTACCACGATATTGCTCAAGTGTACCAGATCAGAACTAAAGCTCAAGCAGGACTCGCAGGATTACATCAGTGACACAGGCTTTAGCCTAATCACGACAACACAGATACCAGGCTACGGTTACGACCCACACCAAAGCCAAACAGCTTTTTCATTATTGCAACTGAGGTATCGATATCACAACAAGCAGAACGGGCCGATGCTCCGACACCAGCACTCAACACCCCCCACGCCAGACGAGAGCACGGCCGGGCCGGTGGCCGCGCATCCCGCCGGCAGATAACGGAGCCACGAGCCGGCGGGGACGGGACGAGCCAGGCGAGCGGAGGCTGGAGGAACGCAGGGCATCACACACACGACAGGAAGGCTATCACGGCGTGCGTGAGACTAGTGAGAAAGAGGAACAGTCAGAGGATAACTATTGCTTGACAAAATTACACACCAGGATAATTCAATGACCCCCCCCCAAAAAAAACCCAAAGGAAGTGAATACAAAAGATCTGGGCTAGTTTTCAGGTGGAGGTGAGGACAGGGCACAGAGGAGGCAGAAGAGCGTTGCTGCCCTGGGACCAGAGGCATGTAGCAAGGCATGACTGCGCTGGAAGACGGACATCAGAGATCTACAGGGGCTTGGCAGAGGATGGGCCGGTTGGGGAGGTTCGGGGAGCGGCTCCCTTTAATCGCTGGCCACCGGGG